CCATATTCATCGCTGGACTGCTTCCAACTCTGATGACAGACACAGATGAGGCCCACGTGGGAAATGCTGTTGTTGGACAGATGGGCATAAAACCTGTAGTTTCCAAATTGGGGTGTTCCCCTAAACCTCTGATTAAGTTGAGGCTGCTTCCAACCGGACCGTGGCTGAAAGAATTCGTTGATGCCTGCTAGTTTTAATGGTATCTTAGTAAGGCAAATGCATTTAAGTTTATTAATTTTTTTCATAAATAGCAAAAAAAAAAAAAAAAAGAAAATTCTCTAGTTAGGGACTTAAGACTTACTACTTGTTTGGGTGCGGAGAGTTCATTTCCAAGCTGCACCAGTACCTTTGATTGAGTTTCAATAATCTGATCCTTTAATCTTCCAATTTCGGACTCCAGTGTCTTTTGCTTGGACTTCAGTTGTCGTTTTTTGACCTAATAATAATAATAACGTGCCACAAACACAATAACGTTCAAGACGGTAAGACCAAAAGGAAAAAAAAGTCTCGATTAATTTGAACACTTTATTTTTGGTTTCCAATTAAAAAGATAGAACTCTGTAGCCGGGTTTTACTTTTGGAAAAATCAGTAACCCTAATCAAATAAATTTTTTTCACAAAATATAAAAACTGAGTTTAAAATGAAATCAACAATAATACCAAGCAGCTCCTAAGTTATTGTTTCTCTAGTAAGCCAAGTTAAGTGTAAACTTACAAGTTGATTCTCGTACTCCTCCTTCCATTTGTCAAGTTCCTTTGATTGAGTTTCAAACTTTTGATTCACTAAAAAATTTTCTTTTCTTAGGGATTCTTTCTCAGCGTCAACTTTCTTCAGTTTGGACTTCATCCATTGTTCATTTGCCCGGACATACCATAATAAAATTCAAGACTTGTATTACAAAAAGAAAACAGCTTGCAGTAGTATACAAACAAACTTACATGTTGCTTGATGAATTCCTGGTTCAATTTGTAAAATTTATTGTAAAATAAAAGGTGAAAAATAAGCTACAAAAGTTAGGGGCAAACTTACATGTTGCTTCTTGTACTTCTTCTTCCAATTGTCAAGCTCCTCTAATTGAGTTTGAAACTTTTGTGTCGTTGAAACGCTTTCATTTTTTAGGGATTCATTTTTAGCCTGGAGAGTCTCCAAGGTGGACTTCATTTGCTGTTCAATTTCCTAAACGTACATAATAAAATTTAAAACTTGTAGAACAAAAAAAGAAGAAAAATAAGCTTCAGAAGTTATAGCTAAAACTTACATGTTGCTTCTCGTGCTTCCTTTTCCAATTGTCAAGTTCCTCTGATTGAGTTTGAAACTTTTGAGTTGTCGAAACACTTTCATGGTTTAGGGATTCAATTTTGGCCTGTAAAGTCTCCAAGGTGGACTTCATTTGCTGCTCATTTTCCTAAATGTAGATAATAAAATTTAAAACTAGTAGAACAAAAAAAAGAGAAAAATAAGCTTTAGAAGTTACAGGTAAAACTTACATGTTGCTTCTTGTACTTCTTTTTCCAATTGTCAAGTTCCTCTGATTGAGTTTGAAATTTTTGTGTTGCCAAAACGCTTTCATTTTTTAGGGATTCATTTCTAGCCTGTAGAGTCTCCAAGGTGGACTTCATTTGCTGTTCATTTTCCTAAATGTACATGATAAAATTTAAAACTTTAGAACAAAAAAAGGAGAAAAATAAGCTTTAGAAGTTATAGGTAAAACTTACATGTTGCTTCTCGTACTTCTTTTTCCAATTGTCAAGTTCCTTTGATTGAGTTTGAAACTTTTGTGTCGCCAAAATGCTTTCATTTTTTAGGGATTCAATTTTGGCTTGTAGAGTCTCCAAGGTGGACTCCATTTGTTGTTCGATTTCCTAAATGTACGTAATAAAATTTAAAACTTGTGGGACAAAAAATAAAGGAGAAAAATCAGCTTCAGAAGTTGTAGGAAAAACTTACATGTTGCTTCTTGTACTTCCTTTTCCAATTGTCAAGTTCTTCTGATTGAGTTTGAAACTTTTGAGTTACCGAAACACTTTCATGGTTTAGGGATTCAATTTTGGCCT